TTTTTTTTTCCTGACCTTTGTACTTGTCATAATATATAAACTAAATAAGTAAATTAAACTAAACTCAGTCGCGCATTAGGACCCTAGCGGGTTATGACTTTCACCTCCCCCATATTTGCTTTCCTGACCGTGGGCCCTGGTTGCATGAGCATATACCCTACACAAGTGGTTGGCTTATCGCAGGAGCACCAGTGTTAACTCCCCAAGCGAACTTGGGGCTCATTTTATCGACCCACTCAAGGTATGAAAGGCGGAGTCGAGCCTCGGACCTGTGAGGCCGCTGCGCAATGCGCTAGCCACTGCGCCATCGGGCCTATATAAACTAAACAGGAATTATAAATATTTAAAATTGAGTTGAATTACGTGGCATATAAGCCAATAGCAAATTCTACACATAATAATAGACCAACCGCACTTTAAATATAAATCATACCACTGTGTTGCCATTTATAAAAGAAAATTATTACTTGAAAGACAGGAAAAAAAAAAAAAAAAACCTTCTGGAGTATTGTAGTCAATATATGTCACAGAATTTTATTATCATCATTATGTTTTATTTTGGATGCGGCGATTATAATATAGAACTATAAGCATTAGATAAATTCTATAGTGGAAATGCATAATGTTCGATGTTATGATCTTGCATTAAATTGCACTAATGGTTATAATGTTGTAACAATTTGCTCGACAATTTGCATTTATTATAATAATGGTATAATGTAACAATTTACAAATAGGAACCATCGAAAAGTTTCAAAATATTGCTAAGATAGCTATATACAATGTTATGAATTCAAAGCAACTTTTGTTCCTGATTGGACATGATTTTCTTCGCCTGCAGCACCTTCCTCAAGTGTCAGTAACAAAGACGTATTCTCTTTCATAACTTCATAATAAATTACTTAAGATCCGGTCCTCGCTTTGAACTAAACTGACTACAAAGCTTATTGGTACAGCTCAGATCCGGCGACAATTAGATAAAAAAGAATTTAATTACGTATATGTTTACGTATATGTGTGTGAAAAAAACAATGCTTTTTCAAAATCAAAACAAAAATGTTTTTTCTTTCATTGTATACGCAGTATACGCAGGAATAAACTTATGGACCTCGACAAAAAAAAAAAAAAAAAAAAAAATCATATATTCATCATTTATAATATGATACGTAAAGGTGCCCTATTGTTTGACGCTCGTAAAACGTTTGAGAGGAATTTTAACGATAAAATAAAAGTAGTGTTTGAATACCGCAAGAGGAATTTAAGTATTTAATTTCTAAACTAAAAGCCTCAGCCTTCGGTAGAAGACCTGTTATAGATCGATCGTTAACTTTTATTTTAGGATACCTCGCGCCCATAAAAAGCTATTCGGAAACCTCAATCTTGTTTCCTGCTCCTTCGCTCATATATAATTTTCTGTGATATGGAGGCAAATGGGTTTACTTTTGAGTTTTCGCGCGCTGAATACACATAGTACGTAACATCGATTTCTATGTTCAGCTCTAAAATTATTATGAGGCATTTCTTAGAAAACTAGCTACGTTAATGCGAATTTGATTTTCTGTGAAGGTAGTCGTATTGGAGAAGTGACGTTCAATATTAATATTTATGTATGTTCTCAAAAATACAGTCATTTTTTGAAAGACTTCACATTTCAAAGGTGGCCCTGAAGAGGTGGTTGCTATGACATGGTTCGTGGTATAAGATTAACGTTTATCCTATTATATGTACATTCGCAAAATCATTACAGCTATGAAATAAAATACAAGTTTTATTAATTTTCAGAATGATAACTCAAAAATGCAAGTATTTAAATAATAAATGCAAATACAATACACAGAACTCCGTTCATCCAGCTCCGGGGACAATTCCGGATAATATTGCAGAAGCACAGAATGAAACATACTCCCATAAAAATAAAAATGGCTCATCTTTTGCACAAATATTTTCGAGAATAATGTTATTTTTAATTCATTCAGAATAAACTACAACGGTGCTATTTTTAAATATATTCAGAATCAAATAAACTTTAAAATTTTCCCATTTCAGATTCACTTTGTATTTAAATTACGTAAAAAAAGTAAAGCGAATATTCAAGAGAAAGGCGAAAAAAAAAAAAAAAGAATTAATTTTTTTACATAAAATTCTGATCAACCATAATTGGCAACATTACTTCCGCCATCTTAGGTAATTAAGATGCCTCATTTCTCACAAAATGGCAAAAATTTATTTGGAATTTACGGGAAGTTTTCCCTCCCGTTTAGTTGTTGCTGTTGTAATCTTTGACGCTTCAGGTAGCTTAATCAGTTTCATATAAATCTTTTAACTGACATAATCTGGCAACAAACATTATATGTTTAAATGTCGTTTTCAAACTGAAACTTCATACTTAACTATTTTTTCTCCCAAATGCACCACCATCCCCTATTTTCGAAGTTATAAAATGAATTCATTTTTGAATGATAAGAAAATAAAAAAAAAGTTCATTTAAAAACGATTCTGCATCAAGTAGCAAAACATATAGCATTAGAAACATTCTGTCATTACCTTATGCAATAATACTACAAATAGTCACAGAAAACTTTCACTGGTTATATTATAAATTAAGTGCATTTTAAATTATATCAATTATATTTTTCAAAAAAAAAATACAAATTTTAAGTACAATAAAATGTGCGTTTATTGTTTTCAAATCGCTTATTAGTTAGTTGGTCAATTACAGGCTATCTAAATTTGAAAGATAAATTAAGGATCTTATGCTGTGCCGAATGGCAACATTTAGAAAAATGCCATTTTACAAGGCCACATGGGAATTAAATTACATTATCTGGGATGATAATACTTTCACGAATGATAAAGGTATATACCGTAACTTAACGTAACGATCCAAACGTTTTGCAAAGATTCCGATAAGGATGTTTAAATTGAAGTAATTTTTTTTATTATTGTCTGGCTAAGAACTTGAATAACAATCTCTGAATGTTAAACATAAAAAATTCCGTAAGAGCAAGATATTTAACTGTATAGTAGAAAGTAAAATACAACAACTATCTTTTTAAAATGATAATGTCTTAAATCAACTAGCGTTTTTGAGAATATAAATAAATCCTTTGAGGCGACCACCTGCAGAGATGACCAAAATCGTTTAGAACCGTAAGTAGTCGTGTTACGGAGGTTCCATCCTGTTTTAGTCTAACGCTTTTATATGATTAATCATCAACCTGTAAAAAATAAAGCAGAATTACAGGAAACCTTTTTGGGCGAGAACTTTTAAAATTCTAATAGGAGAAAAATCGGTCCCGATTCTAGAAAAAATTTATATATGCAAAGTTCAGTTTGTTTTTTTCGAAGCGCAATTTTTATTTCAGCTTCTAGTCAATTAACCACCGCAAATAGCAGAAGCGTTTCTTCGCACGAAGCGGTTTAAAATCACTATCAACTGGCTGCTCCTTGGAGAGGTATCTCTCAAGAGGGCGTTGAGACGACATGATAGAAACTGCGATCCTTTTTCCAGCCACCCTGGATGGGGAAGCTCTCCCTCGCTCAAAAACACCGACTCCTTAGAGGGTCAATGATTCATATTCAGAAACAAAAATTTTCCACGAACAACTCGGAAAAAAAAAATAAAAAAAGAATAAAAATAAAAAAAGAACGCGTTATGTTCCGACACGGGCCGGGCGCGGAGGATTCTTGGCGCGGCCTGGAAATAACTCTGCGTTCTTCAACCCTCTTCGCCTCCTTGCGAATTCTTTTTATTTTTTTAGCAGCCAACATAACGCGCGTTTCTAAATTTACGCAGCGCTTCGTTCCTCCGTGACCAACCGACGAGAGAATTGACAATAAACTGAACCCACTTACACGGAGAACTGCGGTTCTAGAACTAAATTATACCATCTCCCCCCTTTGCTGACGAATAGCGGAACGAAACACTGACATACAGAAATGATGTTGCTACGCGGGTTCTCTGATTTTTGGATGAACATGGAGGGCTTAAATAAATTCTAAACAGCTGTTCGTAGAACATTAGTTATTAATGAAACAAAGTGAGGTATTTCAAAATAATACTGTTTTGCTGATAGCTTTACGCTTTTATGCTGAAAGATTTTATGCTTTTCGCGTGGCAACGAAATTTATGAACGTTCATACCATAAAATGTTTCTAATATACCATAGTATTATCTTATTATCTTCGATCTGTCTACAGAAGTGAACTGATTGTCGCAATCGTAAGGGCCCCACGTTCCAAAATTGGTAGCTTTTTTTTTTTTTTTTAAAAAAAAAAAAAAAAAAAAAATAAAAAATAGCTTGTGTCTTAAGATTAGAAGCCTTCGGAGTTCAAGTGAGGCACCCACCCTATTTCACAAATCCCTCATTATACACTAACGTTACACAAGTTCTTTCTATTTTCCAAGCTTCACATTTTCGGATAATTGGTCATTTAAATCTGCCAGGCTTATTAAACGAACTTAAAGTCAATGTAAAACCAGCATACGATCATTGAAAAACAGTTTGTTCAAAAAGTAAAGTGTTACCTACGTTGTGGACGGTACTGAAGATGATAGTATCTGCGAAACGGATGGACGACAATGTTCATGGTAAAATCGTAAACGATACACACAATTTCTCTGTGCCACAATCAGACTTGATTGTAAAACAAAGAAACTATTCTATTGTGTCTGTTTATGTATTAAACATTTCAAAACAATATTAATGTGCTTTAATTTTGAAAACTCCCTCGTATTAATGATAATAGTTACGTTATGAATTAAAAGCTTTCTTGATACATAAATCTTTAAGTAGCTGATAAGCTTTATTTTTTAGAACTGGTGTTCGGAAAAGAATTTTACTGCTCTGCTTGATACTTGTTTAGTATCTAAAATTTCATATTAGCTAAACCGGAATGTAATTAGAAATTTCCAATAACTTTCCCATAGGCAAGTTTGTTCTTCCAATAATCCGGCAATAACACTAAAGACATTCGCCTATGAATGATATGTCGAAACCTGTCGTTCTTCTCTATTTATTGAAGAAACTGTCACAGTAAAAACAAGGATCTCTCTTTCAAGCAGATATACATAAGCGGACGTCCGGCCGCTTCTTTTGCACACAATGATAATATTCATTTCGTTTGTTTGATTGCTTATTTTATACAAGAGTAACAATGACACATTCTGTTCGATGAGTCTTCCCTCCTCTCACCGTCAGCGTACAGAGAACGAAAATAGATGCAGATTCCGCCACGTTGCTGATTTACCTGTCGACCTCGAAGAAGTAGAAGTTCGCTGAAAGGAGTGAGATCTGAGATGGAAAAAGAGAGGTAGAAGATCACAATTTCTAGCACAGAAGATTTGAAATGGCAACGTTTCACAGTGTGATTCAAAAGTCTTTCGATTTAACTTTGAACTACATTTGAAAAGTAGCTAAATGTATTTGGGAGAAATACGATTTGAAAATTCTTTCTTCCTCTGTTTGTTTAACAGTTCCGCATCCTATGAAGAGATATTAAGTGTATAAACGCATAAAAAATTATTGGTTAGTTAAATAAGATAATGCATTTACGCAAAAAAAAATGTTGATTTTTAGAAAGAAATTGTTTTTAATTTAAATAATTTTAACCAGTTTTTCTTCTAGGAATCTTTGTCAATATAATTTTACTGGGTAATTAAAAAAAAACACACAGTAGCCGTTGAAGCAATTAATTGTTACGTTCAGAAAATACGGTCTTGTTACGCAAAATTATTGTTTTGTGTTTTTTAACTATTTCAAAGCCGATTTGAAAAATAGTGGATCGCTAACCTTTGAAGTGCTCATGTCATGGCGCAAGATTCCCAAGTAACATGGACAATTTCGTTATTAAACAAAGACATGGCGTCAACCAACCAATCGAAGTTCAAGGCACAACGTTTATGGCATAAAATTTCAAACATTATTCCCTTCATGCAAGAACGGCATAACCTAAAATGAAATCGCCATCGCGCATTGGGACAAGTCCGTATAATGCCTCCATGTTAGTCTTAATATGACTGTGTCACTTCTAACAGAGAAACTTTAAAAAAAAATGTGTTCATGTTTCATTTTTGATTTATTTGTGTTGCGTGAAATACTGAATTTCTGAGAGCTTTGCAGTGGGTAGGTTACACTTTAATTGCTACAAACAGTTGCGTTGCTGAAGAATAATTTTATGATTCGCACGAGTTCTTACACATTTGTGTATTTCCATGACTAGCTATGCCGTAAATATTAAGAGGTTGAAATTTTTGTTAATCGGTGTATTTAGATTTCTGTTTACAACAGCTGTGATGCCTGTACCATAACATAAACATGCACTTTCAGTCGTTAGAAGTTACGCCATTAATTCCTACGTTTAAGTTACTAGATCAAATGGCTAGTAACACATATCTAAGGTTAAGTTATCAAATGAAATCAAATAGCAACAAAGTGCAAACAGTATTTCACAGTTAGGTGTGTCATAGCTCAGCAAAATGAATACAAATAGCATATCATGCAACAGTGCATAACTGAATATAAAGCGCCTTTCTATGTTGTTGATTTCATTTGAGAATAAATTTTGAAATTATTGAAAGACTTTCGGATCACACCGTGTTTTTACTATTTACATAATCATTTTTCAAATACTATGCTTAATTTTCAAATATACAAAGGAAGTACAGAAACCCCTCGCAATGGTGGGGAGAATACTAACTACGTTTTACAATTCACCATTCTCTTATTGAAATGTGGAATTTAAGGCCTTTTTCTCATGATTCAGTTTAATCATAAAAAGAAAAAAATGAGTGAAAAAAGTTAATCATAAGAAAAATATTAAAAATGTAACAGGAGACAAAAACATTTCTTATAAGACCTAGAAGGCATATGAAAAGGAGAATGGATGATCGAATGAAAAATTAATTTCTTGTAAGAATTAGGGTAAAAAAGCAATAAAAGTTTTTTTCCTTTGGTTTTTTTATATTTTATTCATCTTCCGCAGTGATTCTAGCAAAGATGGAAAATTTTTTTGTGTGCAATAAATATTTGACAATTTTTTTACGTAACCCATATGCGATCTAAATAATCTTCGTAATTTAGATAACCATTCATGACACATATGTCTATGATAATATGGATACGTATTGCTAGATTAATTTCAATATGAATTATTATTACTACGTGAACTATCTGAATATATTATATTAATTTTCCTGGAGAAAAGTAAACAATTTAAATTTCAAACAGAAAAAATCCAAATTACAGGACTGATTGTAATAAAATAAATGACAACATTTAATCATGTGCGATTTGGTAGGACACCACTCTGTAAAATGGCTATCGTAATAGATGACAAAGTTGTAATAAATTAAAATAAAAGTCTTGTCTAAGACTAATGGAGAGCTCTTCTCTTAAATCAGCCAAACTGAAGTTTTGTGTCGTATGACGAACAGAAACCAGAGCATAATTTCATTTTTTCAGATGATTTCCGCAATCATTGGAAATGGTCATTTTTAAGTATGATATCTAATCGTTTACCCAAATTACCAGAAATACTGATAATTTTTAGAGGCTGTCGTCTTGGGAAGATGGTCAGGGCAAGAAGGTTCCTATACTAGATTATAAAGAACTGATAATTTTTCATTTGCTGTATCAGGAGTGCACACAACTTGGTTTGTTGCGATGATCGATATTAAAACAAAAAAAAACTTCAGTGATCAGTCCATCAAATTTATGCAGTTTAACACATTGAAACCTCCTGAGCTAACTGACAAGGAGAGATGAAGTATAAGACAACACCGTATCGTATTAATATTAAAACTGGATTTCTACTGCTATTTATTTGATGTTTGAGTCGATCCATGAAAAATATTAGCCCAAAACAGCGATCTAGAAAACATGTTTTACACTTAACAAGTTGGTCGTTCATACTTGCGTTGTATGATTTGGGACCTCTATACGGCAATGGCATCAAGCATGCAATGTAACGTAAACCCTTTCCTTGTGACCGCTTTTCTAAGGCGACAACCTCTGAATGTGACGTTTGCTTTTGAGAACATAAATAAAAATCTGTCAATCCTTGGATAATCACCTCCACAAAAGATTAAATAACCTAAAACTATATGTAGTTTTCTCCGAGAGGGTTTATTGTATATATCTCATTTGAGAAATATATGTCCGGTTCCAGAATTTCATGGCGTCACAAAGGTTAAAAATTTTACCAATCTTATTTGGCAAAAACAGAAAATCCAGCTAACAGAATCACTGCGGAAGTTTGTTTAAATTCTTCTTGATTAAAATGTGCGAAGTAAAGTAATTGAAAAAAGAAGTATGAAGTTCGACTAGAGAGGAGGAAATAAGTAAACTATGCTGTTACAAAAAACAAAACAAACAAAAAAAAAAAAAAAGTTCAGTTCCAAAAATAACCATCAAGAGTAAAGAACAGTTAAAGGTTTCAAGGTCACACTGAAATCCGCGTTTTCCTCGAGAACAATAGAGGAAATTCAACAGCGCATTTGCTGCCGAATGGGTGGAAAATGAATTGCTTCTCCAGAAGATGAGTCATTTGCATATAACTGTGCATCTAAGCAAAGGTGTGTGCAGGTGAGGAATTAGGGCATACGAGTTAGACGAGGTCGACAGTGGCCAACAACAAGAGTCCTGATGCGTCATCTTCTTCAGTTCTCGCCCATTTTCCACGGGGGGTCAGGACCTCTCTTCGGTCATCTTCGGATGCGATGAGGACAGGACCATTCCAGGCACGCAGTTCTCTCTGGCTGCAGAAGATGGTGAGGTGCAGGAGTCAGCTGGATCCGGGAACGCCTGTTGAGGCATCTGAAAGAGAAAGGAATTGAATAAGTGACTAATGAACACGAAAGTTAGACACAATCAGCAAACCAGTTTAAACACCTGGACCCGCCCGTTAGAACTAGTTAAGTTTCCAGACTTTGATTATAATGCAAATTAAATATATTTTTAGTATTGTTTCCCTTTCTTTCATTAACTGTATAGGTTCCATGACTTTCAGATCCATAAAGTCGAAATCAGTATTAGAGAAAAAATATCAATCATTACTGTAAGTGGGAACGTCTGTTTAGAGTTACTAAAATTTTGTTTTCCCCTTTTTGGCCAAAGAGCTGTGAGTTTATTCCTAAGAATAAGATTTCAGAGTCGTGTTACGGTTTTCACAAAGAGGTTTTAAAAGAAGGATAAAACATGTACATCAAAATTCTAACTTTAATTTGCAATAGTTTTTTAACTTTCCATTTTATAATTCTAAAGATAGGAACTGCTTATAATAAAATAAACCTCCGTAAACTGCGTCATTTCAAAGTTAATCGCTCTCGCGTAGTTCTTACAAAACACTAGTTACGCAGATACTGGGGTTCTACTTTTGCCAATAGCAATTTTAGACGCTTTAAATTAAGCAATCAAAATACATCTAAACAAAATAATTTATCAAGATTTCATTTTGAATATTTCGCACTCGCTCTTCACTTCTGTTGTTGCTTTTTTTACCGCAACGTCTCAAAAATATGAACAAATTTTAGAGCAGGTACTCACTGCGCCAGTTTATCTGTGTTGACTTGAACATATTTGTCAACGAGAATAAAAGAATATTTATATCTGCCATGACTGACTGAAGTCGCCCAGATAGTATGGTGGTTTCGGAAGCCTACTCCGATACCGAAGGACCCAGGTTCGAATCCCGGAGAAGACATGGATGTTTGTATATGTATAATGTAGGTTCAGCATGGCGGCACTCTAAATATGCGGCGAGCCGAAAGTCCTCTCGTGTGGATTGTTGGAAGGGGCGAGGGATTGGAAACCCCCGTATCCCCCCCCGAAGTGCTCTTCCTCAAAATTGGGGTGGAACATAGAAGTCGAACCTCAGTTTGGAGTAGGCTGTGGCAACCATTATTCCACGTAATAAAGACAAGACAACAACAACAACATGACTGAGTGCAGCTACGTCTTTACGCATATATATATATATATATATATATATATATAGTAAAATCTTTTTTGAAATATCAAACTGTAATCGCACAAGGAATTATCGCATTTTTCCGTGAGTGCTGTCGTGGTGTATGTTGCTCTTTTTCATCTTTCCTGCTTCCAAAAAAAATCCTAATGTCTCTACATGGTAAACCAATTTAGAAAAGTCCACCTGCGGCCGAGCGGGAAAGACGCTGTGTAACGTGTATACGAGCCAGTTTCCGCCCACCAGCGGCCGAGCGATAAAGTCTTTGAACGCTGGTAGTTTGGTCCAAGGTTCGAATCCCGCGAACGGGCTGGCTGCATGGGTGTTTTCGTGGTTTTCCCCATGTGTAACGTGTGTACGAGCCAGTTCCCTTAGAAAGTCCTCCACGAAGGCATCCCTTCCTTTAGGCAGATAGCCCTTGTATGCTTTACCATAACTGAATAATCCAATCCAATTTAGAAAATAACCAATATTTCTAAGAGCATAAGCAAAACATCAATATTTAACATTATCTCTCTAAGGTGACCATTTCCACAGAAAACGAAAATCATCTAGCACTGCGGGTGATCGCCTAACAGAAAATTTACACTAAATTTCAAACTGGTAATTATAAAATTCTCTCGAAGAATAATACAAGCTTTAACATTCAAATCTAGGTCTTGAAAGAACGGAAATCAAAGGTCCAATTAAATAGAAATAAAGTGAAACAAAGGCGAAGTGGCCCAACAGCTGAAGATTACAATGAAAAAGGATGACGCTTGCCCTGGTACCGCAAATGTCATGGCATGGTGCCACCGCCTTGTCTCTGCCAGGGACCCTACCATGTTTATTACCACGTGGTGTTATTTTTTGCACTTCGCTGTTTCTCCCGATTGGATTGCCAACAGATCCTCTCTGCCTCAAGACAGCAAGCAGCACATACACAATCTACATCTGCACACAGCTAACGATGCCTTATTGTTTGTTTAATGTTTACATAGGCTTCTTCTTAAAAGACCAGATTCTGATCGAGGTGGAAACAGTTTGGGATGTGAAAGCTTTCAGCAGTGAGGTGTAAAAAAGATATAAATATTCCCTTCAGAAGAGTATACGGCACATGTAGAATGTTTAAATATAATCTGTTAATTCCATGTTATAAAGATGTAAATTATCGGGCTTAAGTATAACCGGCTTCCCAAGAGTCCTTATCCTGCTTTTATTTCCGCAACCGTTGATCGTAGACATATACAAGCAATTATAAAAATCTTTTAAACGAACCAAGCGTTCATGTTACGGCATTTTTAAATTTGAAAAATAAATTTTGAAGAAATTACAAAATCTAACTTTTTATACATTCGTCCGGTCCTTGCAGTTATAGTTAGAAAAATTTTGTATTTATTATAAAAAATAAAACACGAATGTTTGACTCTTATACGGTCAAAACTAACAGAGATATTTAATTTAAAAATTTCCCAATTTTGAAGTCATTTTCATTTGCATTGAGAAGTCGGGTAACAAATAAATTAAAGTAATTCGAGGTTTTTTTTTTTTTTTTTTTTTTTTTCTTTTTTTTTTTTTTCTTTTCCAATTTCGTTTAATTATATTCTTTCATGATTTACTGGTGTCTTTAATTTATAAATTTTTAAATGCTAAAAATACGTTAATAGAACTCGTATGCAATTTTATTACTTTAGAATTATAATTTAATAATCATTCAAAAAATCATCAGAGTGAAAATATTTTTATTTTTAATTAATGCAAATAATGTTACCATTTGGTTACGTACCAATACTAAAGCCCACCAGTGTTTTCTAAAATACGAGTTCTAATTTTGTGAATAAGATTTCCATTTTGAAAAATTTATATTGAACAATACTCTCCAAGATAATCTGCACAGAATTGCTAGTCACTAAGTCTATTAATAACAGAAATCTTTTTTATTAATTGATATTTTGTTTTTAGTTGCGTTCAAATGTAAAATTTTCACTCTTCAATTTGTACAGTTGTCAATATCAAGGGCCCCTGAATATGATCAGCAACTTTAATATGAAAAATGTTGGTTAACTTTTATTGGTCAAAACATATGGAATTCACATGTTTTGTGTTTGATTCTTTATAATGAGTATAAAATTTCTGTAAATACAAGTACAGGGACTGGGAGAATATAAAAAAGTAAGATTCTTAATTTTTACAAAATTATTGTTTACAATACTCAATTTTTACAATTTTAATTTTATAACAGTTATTTTAATTTAGTTAACCTTCCCCATCGCTCGTAGTTTCAACTTACAACTCTCTACCAGAATGAGGTTTTAGAACCGCGTTGAATGAGTAAAAAATAGCATTAAAGGAAAAGTTCAGCTTACTTCGTGAGAGAGAGCTAGAAATCCTGAGTAGCGGGTGTTTGCCTTTGGGTTGTTTCTCTAAATGCTGTTACCCCCGCTCGGCCGTATATTACGAGCCTTTTGAGCCCGCCTAGCTTAAAACTAAGGGCCAACTCCGTTGAATTTGTGTTAGCTTCGGCTAAATCTCTTATACTTAGTTATAGTTAGTTCTTATATTTTATTTTTAAGCCCAAGTGGAGGCTTTGTTGTAAGCTCGAAGAAATTCATCTTATTTTGTTCATCTCATCTGTTCATCTTATTTTGAGTGAAATAAAGGGTAATTAAACCTTCTTGAGTTTACGATTTCCATTTTTTGAACTAAGCGATAATTCGCTTAACAGTTCACGAGGTTCCTCGACATTTAATTTAGGAGAATAAAAGAGAGAAACTCTACATTTTAATTTCAAAATGACAAACTACGAATATGTGAGTCATTTAAAACATTTTTGTAAGTAGAAGTACATGTATACGACCAACGGTTGCGAAAATAAAGGCCAGGTAAAACTCTTGCGGACACGGTGTATACGTTAGACAGACGCATGTTTGTCTAAGAAATGCCTCATTTCCATATATTTTTATTTAAGTTACAGAAGTTGTATTTTTACACAGCTAAAGAAAAAACTACCTTTGGTCTCATTTTGCCAGTATAATATAAAGAGAAAGAGGGACAGGGAGAAAAAGAAAGAAAATAAGACAGACACTTCCTCTTTCAATTCCTGCCTTACTAATTACAATAATGCTACAAATGTTCATACTAATTAACAATTGCATGTATTTCATATTTAATGCATTTTATAAATTAAATCCAAAAATAAATAATTATTTAAGTATTTACAAATGCGTTTTATTGCTATTAAATCGCACAATTTATTTAAAGTTATAATTTTAAAAGAAAATAAATTTATTTTCGAAAATATTCGTTATTTTTGCATGCGGAACATTTTAATTTTTCCTTTTCCTAAAATTATCTAAGTTATTTTGAGAACATTTATAATCGGAAGTGCATACATGTTTAGAATCGATATTTAAAGAAATCAAGCATTTACAGAGATTCCGCGGAAACGTGTTAATTAGCTGTTGCCTGCATTTGTAAACGACATATCACAGGTAATTTGTATTTGCGGTTATCAAAAGTATGTTTAAAATGGGCTCACTCTTCGACGATTTCCAGTTGTCGACAAAGCTTTGGCCCCAGACTAAGGGTACTTGCAAAAGGGTACTGGCACTAAGCACTTTAGCTGGAATGGTGACATAACATTGCCTCATCATGAAAATGCCAGTATCTTTATGTCAAACCGTTACAGCGTTGCATAACAGTGTCTAAGGTTGGATGGAGTTATCGGGAATTCTGGAAATTTCCCGAGATACTGCTGCCGATTTGTTACTTGACATCGACGATTTAAAAAACATAAAACTTTACTAGAATGTATGCAGCAAAAAAGAAAAGCTCATAAGAAGAAAATGATTTAATGACACTAAAAAAATCG